CAGAAACAACTAAGGGAGGAGGAGGGACACTTGAAACAGTATATTTATTGCAAACAAGAGGTTTGAGCAAGGACACATGAAAGGTATTAGGAATTTTCAAGGTGGCCGGAAGGGCCAGAGAGTACGCAACAGGATTGATCCTACGAAGGACACGAAAAGATCCAAGGAACCTAGGAGCAAATTTCATGCTAGGGACTTTGAGCCTGATGTTACGCGAAGATAACCAAACCCTCTCAGCATAATGCTTGAAACGGTCAGCAGCAGTACCCAGAGCAGATTGAACTTTAACCCAGGTATCACGGAGGGAAGCCAGACGGTCACCCAAAGCAGGAATAGCCGTATCAGAAAAAACAGCCGGTAGGACAGTAGGATGCCGGCCATTATTAACAAAAAATGGACTTTGCCCAGAGGAATCATGGTCAGCATTTTTCCTAACAAACTCAGCCCATGGTAATAATTCGGACCAATTGTCTTGAGTGCTATTAACAAAACAACGCAAGTATAACTCCAAAGACTGGTTAGCCCTCTCAGCTGTACCATTAGTCTGGGGGTGGTAAGAAGATGAAAAAGACAATTCAATCCCCATTTGCTTATTAAGAGCCCTCCAAAACCAGGATACAAACTTAGAACCTCTATCAGATACAATATTGTGAGGAATGCTATGCAGACGGACAATCTCACGTATAAAGATCAGTACCAGGTATTGAGATGACGGTAATTTCTTGAGAGGAATAAAATGAGCCATTTTAGAAACACGGTCCACAACCATGAGAATGGTGGTATAACTGTTAGAACTAGGAAGTTCAACAATGAAGTCCATGGACAAGTGGGACCATGGGACCTCAGGAATAGGAAGAGGTTGTAACAAGCCACAAGGGAGTTTATGAGGCACTTTGGAAACTGCACAAACAGAACAAGCCTGCACATATTCCTTAACATCCTTCCTGAGGGAATCCCAACAGAATGACCTCATGATAGCAGAAGTGGATTTATTAATACCTGAGTGACCAGCAGACACATTGTCGTGAAACAGCTTCATGATATTAACCCTTTCCCCCAATGGAATGAACAGTTTGTCCTGAGGTTTACCGCAGTGTGCCTGAGACTGAGCCTCCATGATGGAGCCAGGCAGTGGAGAGGACAATAAAAGGACAGTGGACGCAATTATACATTCCTCAGCATCAAACTGCCTGGACAAGGCGTCGGCCTTGACATTTTTAGAACCAGGTCTGTAGGTGATAAGAAAATTAAAGCGAGAAAGAAATAGAGACCATCTAGCTTGTCTAGAAGATAATCGCTTAGTATCTCCTATGTAAGCCAGGTTTTTGTGATCAGTAATGATCAAAAGGGGGTCCTTGAAACCCTCTAGAAGATGTTGCCACTCCTTGAGAGCTAGAATAATGGGCAACAATTCTCTATTGCCAATATCGTAATTGCGCTCAGCAGGAGACAACTTTCTAGAAAAGTAACCACAAGGATGTAACAGAGTTTCCTGGCTCTCCCTCTGAGAGAGAACTTCCCCTACCCCTGTCTCTGAAGCATCAACCTCCAGTATGAAAGGCTTACTGGTGTCAGGATGTATCAATATGTCGGCGGAGGCAAACTGCTGTTTGAGAGTTTCAAAGGCTTCAATTGCCTCCTTAGACCATATCATACTACTAGCCCCCTTGAGTGTCATATTGGTGATGGGGGCTATTACTGAAGAAAATCCCTTTATGAATCTTCTGTAATAATTGGCAAAACCAATGAACCTTTGAATGGCTTTCAACCCAGTGGGTAAAGGCCACTGTAGAACAGGCTCTAGTTTTTTAGGATCCATCAGAAACCCCGAGGCAGAAATATTATCTCCTAAAAACTGTACTTCAGACTGGTCAAAGATAAATTTTTCCAATTTACAATAAAGTTGTTTTTTTAATAAGGTTTGCAGAATTTGTTTAACGTGATCGTGGTGAGACTGGAGGTCAGGAGAATAAATAAGGATATCATCCAGATAGACCAAGACAAACGAGTAAATGTAATTTCTGAGTACATCGTTAATGAAATCTTGGAAAACCGCTAGAGCATTGCACAACCCGAATGGCATCACTAGATATTCATAGTGTTCACTTCTGGTGTTAAATGCAGTCTTCAACTCGTGGTTTTCCTTGATTCTCACTAAATTGTAATCGCTTCTAAGGTCAAGCTTAGTAAACACTTTAGCACTCTGGAGTCTGTCAAATAATTCAGCAATAAGAGGAATGGGGTAGGCGTTCTTAATGGTGATTTTGTTCAATGGCCTGTAATCGATACATGGGCGCAACTCACCATCCTTTTTAGATCCAAAAAAGAATTCTGCACCAGCAGGCGAGGATGATTTTCGTATATGGCCTTTATTCAATGAATCTTTCATATATTCCTCCATTACACTACTCTCCTGAGGAGATAGATACTGCTTCCTGAGGTGGCATACCACCTGGTAGTAAGTTAATGGAACAGTCATATGGTCTGTGAGGAGGTAGAGTATTAGACTGAGTCTTGCTGAATACTTCTTTAATGTCTTGGTATTGTATAGGGATTTAGGGTTTTTGAGGTGTACTGGTGGGTAATTCAATAGTGCCCACTCTTTTGGTGACATGCAATATGCACCTTTTATTACATCCTTACCCCATTCTAATATTTCCCCATTAGCCCAGTCAATATGAGGGTTATGCTTGCTAAGCCATTAACCACATTTTTATAAGCGGATGAATACATGACAATATGTATCTATACGAGAACTGAATGCTCCTAGGTGGCTGCCATTTCTTGCATACGAATACACGTGGTGAGAAAAATGGTTTGCGGCCATCTTGTCTCCCGAACGCTGCCTGCGGGACTTGGTTGTCGAGTGCCTAGAACTGTTTTCTGCAACATACTCGCATGAACCCTGGTCTCTATGGAACTCTGCTACATTCTCTTTCCCAGCAACTTAGACGAACGTCATTCGGAAGTTTCAAACTACTGAACACAAGGAGCATTCTTCATGAACCAGATATATTTTACCTATTGCGGTTTTCGTATAAAACCTCACGAACAGACACCGACTCTTGCTACCTTTCTTCTGGAACTGTTTCCTGGCTTCAACCTCGTGGCATATCAGTCAACTCTCTCTGCGGTGCCGTTCGGTAACTACCGAACGGATTTGGCAGATTTTTTTTATATTTTGCTCCCACAGAGACAAGCTACCCAGGGATGTTTTTATGGGGTTATTATGTGATTTGGGGGTATTTCCAGAAATTGTGAAAATTGTGAAAAATTTAACTTTTTTTTTTCTGTTCTCTAAACTCAATTATCTCACTGGTTCAGAGGAGGAGTTATGTGCTGTATAAATTGAATGCCTGTGTTCTCATTAAACCAGTCTTGTCACAGCATTAAGCTTTGGCTCATGTGTGGTTTATTATGCGACACCAGCGATATTGGAACCTGTGGATTATTGGCATATTATTTTAGGGGAAATGGGTATGCAAGACGGTGATACATGTCCATACCATCAAAAAAGCTTTCTGGACTAGGTTTCTTACTGCAAAATACATGAAAATAAAAACATGTATACTTTATTTGGGTATTGAATAGGTTAAACCTTTCATTATGAGGTGACTTGAAAAATAATGATATCCCTTTTCTGTAGTCTGAAAAGTAATGTTTATATAATCTTGTATATCAGTATGTATTGATAGCATGATTCTTATCAACAAAAATAATATATTAATACTCATTTATGGATATAAAAAGAGATACAAGATAATAGCAGTAAAGAACAGACAACAATATTATAAATAGAAAAAGGTTTAAATCTATGATACTTTGCCATTTACACAGTCTCCTTCCAATTTAAAACATTTCTCTGAATACACTATAATCATCTCACACACTGTATATTATAATTCTATCCAGCATCTTATTGCCAAAGTCTTCCAAAAATGTCATGTTGACCCGATATTTGCTCTTTAATTTCTGCATCACTGCCTCCTTGTCTCCAAAACTGTTTAATCTCTAATCTTTGTGATAAGACTCCATTCACCTTTTCTTTAGGTTAGGATTAACATATTCTGCAGCATTTTATAATTATGAAAAGGGGATATTTGACTACAAGTAACTGGCATACAGATAATTAGCAGATACAAAAGGTGAAGAAGTCTATGTTCAAATAAGTTTACAATCTATGACATGATATTATACATAATAAACAAAATAAACAAATATCTTGCACACTATGCCAATGTAGTAAGTTAAAAGTGTTCATTGTATAGACATTGTGGCTATAGTAAAAGAGAAAAGTTTATTTACAACTCTAGATGGAGGGAGCGGGGCATCACTGTCATGGAGGTGCCTAGCTGGAGCTCCACACTAAACTTGAAATAGTGGCTAAAAAGGCACCCCTAGACCACTATAAACCATACCACAGGACCCCAAGTGACTTACTAACTCTCTACCCTCATGGTGAACCGGTGATGAGGCCCGTGAGTGGACGGCAGACGGCAGAATACACCCGCAAGGGCATGCAACCTGGCGAGCAGCGGGCAGGCATGGCGGCCGATCTCCCAGCCTGGAACCACCAGGAGACCAACTGCCACAAGCGAACACCCCACAACCCCTCCTTTGGACCGGTGGGGGTTAACCTCGGTCCACCAATGGTGGTCCCCTCCAACACGACGGAAACAATTGCGAAGATGGCCGGAGAACTGAGAGGCCTGCCCAAAATGGCGGAGACCGCGCAGCTTGCAGACAATCAAGAGTCACCCCAAAACCCCCTGTCCAGCATAGACAGGATTTTCCAAAACTTCCAGCTCAAGATCAGGCTGCAACAAGGTGCTCCGCGACTACTCACCGTACACCACCCACCCTCAGCATCTGCCTGCAGCCCCGATGGGGCCTAAAACCATATGACGGCGAAGTAAGCATTCACCTCGCTCACGCAAGGCGACGAGTGGGAAGAAAACGCGGAATACAAGCCTCGGCCTCAATCAAGCACCCACCTCATCATGGGAGACCCTACCCAGACCGAGCCCAATCACGCCCGCTCACTCACCGCACCACAACGAAGCTCCACGGGCACCCACAGCAGGGCTCTACTAAGCCCCAGCGCGGCATCTGTGAACCACCAAAGACGCTTCGGCAGGCAGGTCCCAGGATGGGAGACCAGATACGGCACACACGGCCAGGGACTCACACCTGGGGGACCCCAGGGGACTATATTGGGCTATTTGTTCCATCGAATGTACTATCACGTTACAGTTTTTGCCACCTCAAAGCAAAAGGGTACAAGCAACTTACATAGTTACGACAACACAACTACAACACATACATAACATACTAATGCAAGTCCTAACCTACTAAATGACACATAACTGTTTATCCTTCTGAAGAACGCATTGCCAAATACCTCTGATCCTTAGTATAACTACATTTTGTCATACTCATGTATAGCTTAGCCTCTTTATTACTAACGATGGAAGAATCATAACCTTGTTATTCTCATGATACTATAAAAAATGTGCTGTTTTAACTGCCACACTTTGGAATGCTACAAATTGCTTGCAGTTGCTGTCGTGGTGCTGCACGCTAATTTGTTAATATGTGCCGACATAAAATAAAGAATTTAAAAAAAAAATACAAAAATCTCAAGTAAAACAAAAACAAACAATGTTAGAATGGCTTCTACCCCCCACCCCTTTAAAAACAATTTGTGGAAAAAGAAAACCACAAGTAGGTTGTGAATGTGAAAAGTCTAAAGGCATCAAGTGACCCAGTTTTTTGATAGGAAAATTTGGGTCCATGTTTCGTGTAATATCTGGGTATTGCATGCCAAACTGTTAAGTTTGACACATTTATTTAGTAAAAGGAGAATTCAAAGTGATTTTCAAATCTAAGGCCAGACTAACCAAATTAAAATAGAATGGATTTAGAGACTATTGCCAGTTAAACTATTTTGATCTTAAATTTAAATTCACTGATGCTCACATGGTTATTTACAAATCATTCAGTTATCTTTGTACCAGTCTGTTATTGTAAGGAATCTAGTTGCTGTGGCTATCTGATGTTTCTGTGCTAGACAATCTGGATATCCAATCAATGTTGAGTGAAATTCTAGATTTCGAATGCTGTGTCTAGCAGTAACATGTCAGTAATAAAAGTTTTACAAACAAATTAAAAAAAAAAAAAACCTCTAGATGGAGAGATATTAAATAATGGGTTTGGCTTTAAAAGCTCTTGTTGATATTGTGAATCAATTAATTTAAGTGGTAGAGTAAAATATTTTAATAACAATTTGAAAATTCAAGTTAAGGTCAAAATAACCGCACGGGAAAAAATCTCAGCTAAAATTTCAGTTCAGCAACTCTTGCCTTAAATTTGAAATTCACTTTAAATTATGTTTGAATTCTTACTTAATGGGGTAATTCACTCAAGTCCAAATGGCCCCATACCAAATGGAGCAAAGCCATTCAGCTGCATACAGGGCCAATCAGGCTGCAAAATCCAGATATTGTTCTATTTAACAATGTCCAGATTTTAGAATTCAAGCGCCGAATGAATGCTTCAAATCCAGGCATGGATTTAAAAAACAAAATGAAAAATCTGAACCCCATATGCTACACTATAGTCACCAAAACAACTTTAGCTTAATAAAGCAGTTTTTGTGTATAGATCATGCCCCTGCAGTCTCCCAGCTCAATTCTCTGACTGGCTACTAGAATGCTAAATTAGCATTAGCATTAGATACTGGGGGATGTGCAAGGTTAGGGAGAGACTTTTTCCCCACCCCTGTTATTTCACAGGCATTTCATGGAATGAGGCCTTTTCTAGGCATGGAGGCCCAGTCGCTAGATTTAACATGTTAGTATAAATGCCCCTACCTGCCACATTAAAAACATTTATTTATTTATTTATTTTAACTTTTTTTGAAAGCATTAACGGGCTAGCAAGCACAGACCAGTTGTCACATAATTAACCCTCGCATTGCTGAGGTTTTTTGTTTTTTTAAACCATTTGCCTGCTGACTGCTAGCACTGACAGCAACAAATAGTACTTTGAATTATCATAAATTTGCATGGAAGCAAGTGGATGATAATTTGTGAACAAGCACCGACTTTTATTACAACTTTTATTACAACTGGTGCTTTGAGAATTCTTCCGAATTCTATACTTTGTATAGGCTTTGGATGCAAAACCACCAATTTTGATTCGGACACCAAATCTGTTTGTTTTAGTGAATAACTTTGTTAGTGAATAACGCTGATTGTGGTATAAAGTATTGTGTATTATTTCATGGTGACACCTAGTGGCTAAAAGAGCACACATGGACATTTGTTTACGATTTTTTATATAGTCAAAATGTAAAGACTTTTAAAATACTACTTATGTTGGTTGTTTCTTCTTCACATTAGTATATGTTCCATGTAAGCAACATGTAATTTCAAACAACATCTAAGCATATGAGGAATTTAGATGGAATGGGCACTCAAACGGCAGATGAAATTTAATGTAGAGAAATGCAGTCATGCACTTCGGGTTAAAGAATGCACAAGCAACTTACACTCTAAATGGTAGTGAATGAGGGATAACAAAACAAGAATGATTTAGAAATTGTTATAAACAACAAACTAGACAACAAAGTGCAATATCAATCAGCAGTTGCTAAGGCCAGTAGGGTATAGTAATGAATAATAGGGGCATTAATAATGAAGATCAAAATATTTCAATATTTTCATCATTTTGCCTCTTTATAAATCAATGGTAAGACCACACCTTGCATATAATGTGCTATTTTGGGCATCTGTTCTATAGAAGAATATAATGGCACTAGGAAAAGTCCAGAGGTGGGCTATAAACTTAATAAAAAATAATGGTACATTTAATTATGAAGAAAGGTTAGCAAATTTAAATTTCTTTAGTTTGGAAAAACAGCCCCTCAGAAGGGATAGAATTATACAAATATATTTGGGACCAATACAAACCATTGTCTGGAAATCTATTCATAGACAGGACTATACATAGGACACAACGTTACACATTTAGACTAGAAGAAAATAGATTTTGGCTAAGGCGATGGAAAGGGTTTTTTACCATAAGAACAAAAAGGATGTGGAATTCTCTACCTGAAGAGGTGGTTTTAATAGTTTAAACACACGTTTATATGGCAATTACATGAATATTTGCATAAACATAATATTTAGGAATATCATTTTTAATTAATGAGGTAATAGCTTCTTGTTCCAAAGAGATATCTAACTGCCATTCTGAGGTCAAGAAGGATCTTTTTCCTATTATGTTGCAAAATTGGAAGCGCTTTAAACTGGGTATTTTGCCTCCTCTTAGATTAGCAAAAACAAATGTTAGAAAGATGTGATTAACACAAGTCAGCTGCGAAAGCAACAACTCATTAGGGAGCAAAGTTACTCAAACTTAGGAGGAAAGCAGAGAACCTGGACCACCGAGAGAGATTTAATAAAGTCATGAAATGCGGCCTACCAGAAGGAGAATTAGAGGAGATGCTTGCCACCACACTGGTCACCTTGTTCCAACAGTTCATAGGGCCAGAAGCGCCGGATGATATAGAGCTTAACTGGGCACATAGAGCCATGTGACCCCAGAAGCTTTGAGATGCAATTTGTGGTGTCCACACATAATGACTGTGGTCTAAATGTTGCCCTAAATAGTATTTAGAGAAGTGTCAGTGACCTGGTACCAAGATCTCTCGGTCCTCACTTCAGTCACCGGAGCTCATTACGCCCAATGACAGCAGCCATAAGAGAGAAAGGAATCCCTTATAGAAAAGGAGAGCCAAAAACAAGTCGCAAGAGAGTGCTGAGAATTGACAACAGCTCAATTAGCCTGCCCTTCGCTCAGTTATCAAGCTGGTTTTAGCTCATCTTGAGCCAATACAGAAAGAACTAGGCCATGCATCTCAGACTGATTCCACCCAAAAGGGCAGAACAGATCCAAAACACAGGCCAGCTCTCTCTGCACGAGAGATACAGCAACCCCAGATGATCGTTTCAGTCTTGTTAGGCATCATCAGTGAGGTATAGCACCAGCTTGAGAACTGAGCGGGGACCCACCGAAGGGCAGGCTAATTGAGCTGTTATCCGTTCTCAGCACTCTTGCGACTTGTTTTTTGCTCCCCCATAGAAAAGGTTTTCCGGTCAGCCTTCAGGCCCAAATAGGCCATTTCTGGCACCTGCTCCAGATGTCTGAGGATGTCACCCAATTCCTACCAAAGATGGTGGTGCCTTATTTAGATACTCCAAACTCCAGAAGTATGCTGGACCAGCCAGAGGCCCCTGTGGGGTTTGGGGTCCTGCTGCATCCTCACTGCCAAGGTTCCTATTGGAACACACATCCTTTTAAGCAGCTAAATTGCATAAGGTTTTGGCTGTTCCATGAAGGGACCCAGATTAGAGCATTCATAACCCACCCCTTTTTTCTTATCACAACAGCTTCAGTCGCGGAAAGCAGCTGGAGAGGATTTAGGGATGGTTGATAGCCTTCCTCGGGTGGGAATGTTGATAATCAAGGTCTGTTTGGGATAACCCCTGCCATCATTGAAAATGTGATGTTACGGTACCTCCAGGAACGAAATGTACAAACCGCCGTTTAGCGAGTATTCCCCGTTCGCAATAATGTGGTCGGGTAGCGGGTATAATAAAACCAGGCGAACCGCCAGCCAGGGAACACTCCAAACTCCCGAACGGTACCTGTACGGCTGATTCCCTTAGCAAGCCACAAATCCACGAACGGCAATTAATAACCGAACGACAGTATCTCCCAAGCGGCAAATAATCCAAGTAAGCAGTCTCTCGCCGCTGGTATCCAAATCCCCCCAATAACGAGACCAAGCTCCGCTTTGAGGGTAAAACACGAACTGGTTTACTGTGGGCTACCTGCCCGGTATTTATGCAGGTCTCCCACTTGGTGGACACTCCCCTAGGGGACCAAATGGGAGACTGAAATCACAGAGGGACATGGGGACATTCTGGACATACATCCCCACAATATTCCCAGCATGCAGTACAGTTCCCTCCCCTCTGCTCGGGGAATAATTGGGAAGTAATTCAATTATCTCCCCGAGCAGAGGCAATCGCCATTTTAGATACAAGTTACAAAAACACACAAAAATCCATAACTTAATAACTGCTGAACATTTTACATCAGTCTTGCATATCCCCAGATAGCCTGGATCTGAGGGCACATTATTGGAGAATAGCGCTCAGATCCCATTCGCACAGTTCAATCGCCATGGAGTCAAAGTCTCTTTCAGTTCTTCGGTATGCGATTGACTCCATGGGACGGCTATCTGGGTTAAGTCCAT